ATCGTAGTAGTAGTAGTAGTAGTAGTAGTAGTAGTAGTAGTAGTAGTAGTAGTAGTAGTAGTAGTAGCACAACCCACAGTACCCCAAGCTGCGAAAGGGCACTCAAGGCCAATACAAGCTGTACACGTGCTCGCACTGCGTGGCGGCGGCGCAGAACATCACCGATCACGAGGCCGTGACGCGCGCAGCGCGCCAGAACAAGGGAGCTGGCTCCATCGACTACGCCGCCAAGCGCGTGGCGAAGTTCCGCGCGAGCTTCGACCACATCAAGGAGGGCATGGACGTGCTTGTGGGGTTCGCCCTCTCCGGCGACGGCTTGCTAGCCCTGCGGAGGGCGACGGAAGGCGTCGGGGTGGGCATCGATCCCGAGAGCGCGGGCGCCCCCCCGGCCACGGAAACGGTGGCGCAGGATGTCGGTCGCCCGACGGCGGTGGAGGCCGTGCCGGGGCCGCCCCGCGCGCCACCTCCACCCCTCGAGGATGGACCTGGCGCCGCAGACCCCCCCCTTGGCGATGATAGCGACCCCCCGCTCGACAACAACTCTGAGGGCCAGGAACACCAGCTAGCCAACGCCAAGACTGTGGAGGAGGTCGCGGACGTCGAGCCCCTGCTGCGGCTCGGCCTCTCCAAGAAATCGCTGAAGCGTATGGCGCGGGCTTGCGGTGTCCTCAAATTCGAGACCATGCGCACCCACATGCTGGGAGGCCTGGGGCCCATCCTGGAGAAGAAAGAGGACGTGGTGAAGGGCGCAGAGGCGCAGGGCGGGGCCCAGAAGTGGCTCGACGCGCTGAATGCGGAGGCAGAGGATGATGTGGGCAGGCTGAAGAAGGGCCCCCTGGAAGCCTCGGGGGTCGTGGACGCGCACCTGGGACACAAGCGTGCGTGGAAGGAGGAGTGCCAGGGCAACGCCATGGCGCAGGAGGCCAACCGACGGATGGGCGACTACACGGACCAACTCTACCGTGGCAAGGGCCTTTTTACGTTCAACATGTACTACAAGTGCTCGGCCAACAAGACCTGGGACAATCCCAATGGATGCTGCTCGGTGATCCGTTCGGAACGTTGGGCGCAACTGCTCACCTGCGCGCAGGAGGCGGCGGGGGAGACGGACCAGCGCTGGTACTGCCATTGTGGTGCGCGCTACGCGACCTCCTACGGTGTCTGCATCGAGATGATAGAGGAAGAGCAGAGCCCGACCCGCGCGCACTACATGCACGCGGACTTCCCCGAGGAGGATATCCGCGACTTGAAGGCCCTGCTGCGCCACGACGAGCTCAAGAAGGAGGGGGTAGCGGTGCTCAGCGCTGTGGACTTCCTGAAGCACCTGCCCAAGGTCGAGCCGCTGGCGGCGGGCAGTCTCTAAGCGCTACGCTCCGCAGGGAGGGCCGCTACGCGCTAGTGGAGGGGCTATCCTGGGACAGCCTGCCCGAGTTCAAGTGGTCCGACCTGCACTCGCAGGTTGCCTGGGGGCTGAACGATCCAGAGTGGGCGGGCTACACCAAGAACCAGCGGAAGAAGGCCAGGAGGCAGCGCCTGGCGACCGCGCACGAGAAACTGGCGGCCTATGGGCGCCGCCACAACCTCAGGGAGGGCAGCCTCACGGGCGGCGGGGGCGGTACCGGGGTCGCCCCGCGTGCCGCTCCCGCCCGCGCCGCCAGCGCCCCCCCCGCTGGCTCGGCTCGCGGCAGCCAGGACCCGCCACCACCGCCTGCTGGAGCCCCGCCGGCGGCCATCGCGGCCCCGCCGCCGCCGCCGCTGACGGCGCCCCCTGCGGCGCCGCCGCCGCCGACTGCCCCGCTCCCGCAGCAGACCCCTAACGTCGCCGCCCCGAACGTGGCCCTCGGCGAGGACCTCGAGCGCCAGATCTTTGGGCCCCCAGGGCAGGCGGGCGGCAGTGGCGACCTCGGGGGAGAAGCGCAGGCGCTCCCGTCGCAGGTCTTCGCAGCCATTGCGCAAGGAACAGGCCAGTCCGCCTGAACGCTGAGTCTCTGCAGGCCCCCAGCATCGTTCCCTTCTAAGCCCTCGGGGAGGCTACGTGAGTCCACGTTAAGATCCCGAGCCTGCCACTCTCGAGGATGCTGAGCCTGCACGCTCGCTTACGCTCCTGCTTTAGCAACGCCGCCTTGCCAGCTTGCGCGGGTGCGCCCACAGCGGCGCCCCCCCTCGCGCCGCGGGCCCTGGTGCTTACGCCTCCGCTCTTCGCACGGTCAACTGTGCGCCTAGCCACTTTGGCTTGCCATTTTGGTTTGCCATCCTGGCCTCTTCTCGCGCCTACTTGCGCTCGCTGGTCTCGTTGGCGGCACCGGGGTCGCCCCGTGTGCTGCCGCGCCGCCGCTGCGCGCCTAGCCGTGTTGGCTTGCCATCCTGGCCTCTTCTCGCGCCCACTTGCGCTCGTTGGCCTCGATGGCGGCACTGGGGTCGCCCCGTGTGCTCCTGCGCCGCCGCTGTCGCTTTACATTGGGCCGTAGGGGCCAGCTGCCCTCGGATAAGCGCCTGCCGCTGCACGCGCATCAGACCCGCCATTTCACCCAGAAGAGGTGCTCGCTACATACTGGAAATGAGGCAGCCACAAGGACGCTCACCCCAAGGCGGTTGAGCCGTGGTGATGTGGTGCACGAGACCGAGTAGTAGTAGTCGTAGTATCAGTAGTAGTAGTTGTAGTAGTAGTAGTAGTAGTAGTCGTAGTAGTCGTAGTAGTCGTAGTAGTCGTAGTAGTAGTAGTAGTAGTAGTAGTAGTAGTAGTAGTAGTAGTAGCAGTGGTGGCTGCTGCGTTGCGCTATGCTATGATATGCGATGCTATGCTATGCTATGCTAGGCTGCGCAATGCTTCGCTGGGCTAGGCTAGGCTAGGCTATGCTATGCTATGCTATGCTGCGCTATGCTATGCTATACCATGCCGTGCCATGCTTTTGCTTTGCCTTCGTTTTTGCCTTCACTTTTGCCGTTGCTTTTGCTTTTGCTTGGCACCCAGGGAGCGCAACTGGGGGAACCGCGCGTTTGCTTTTACCTTTGCTGTTGCTTTTGCTTGGCTCCCAGGGGACCGGAGGAACCGCCCAGGGCGGTTAGCATTGCCCGGCCCCTTTAAGCTACAGAGTAAGAACCCTTCAAGGCAGAGCCTAGGTAGGGAAATAGTCTGGGGACGATTTTCTGACCGCTTTTGAGTATTTTAGGGCACTGTTCGACTATATGATATTTTTCGTCCAGGATCCCCCTGTAGGGGGACAGGCCCGACTTAACGATAGGTCCACCAAAGAATGTTCTAAGAACCGTTTGTGGTTTGCACGATATGTTATTAGAACATGTCTGGGCGATTTCGCACTGTCTTGACACATAGGGCTTATGTTATAAGAACATGGCTTTTGCTCTTGGAGCACTCGTGGGTTCCCTATAGGAATGCCGGGACGGCCGGCCCCTGCTCAAGAGGAGGAGGCTCGCCCAGGCGGCCTCACGAAGCCCGGCGGGGCCTCCCCGGGGGTCAGCGGCCGAGCGCGGCGGCAGCATCCGTGGTCGCATTCGCCGTCGTGGCCGCCGTCGTCGCCCCCCTCCTCTCCTGGAGACCGCCGGAGGCCGCCTCCTCCGCATCCTCCTTCGGGAGCCTTCAGACGGGGGTCAATGCAGACGGGGGTCAGCCAGAGCGCCAGAATCTTGCAGGATCCTGCAGGGCCAGGGGCGCGCACTGACCCGGGCCTGGGTGCAGGATCCTGCAGGATCTTGCAGGATCCTTCGCGTTGACCCGGGTTTGGGTGCAGGATTTTGCAGGATCTTGCAGGATTCTGCAAGGCCTGACTGACCCGTGTCTAGATGGACCCGGATCAGGAGATCTCCGACTCCTCCTCCTCGTCGCCTTGCCGTTGCTGCTCCTCGCCGTCCTTGCCATCCATACCCTCCGCACGAGGCCCATACAGTCGGGGCGCTGGAGAAGGAACCCTTTTCGTTGGGGAGGGGCTCGGTGTTCCTTGATTGTTTTACAGTTTGCCTTGGGCTGTCCTTAGTTTTTCCATGGGGAATCGAAGTTGAACTTATGGGAAAAGGGGGCCTCGTTCCTTAATTAGGGTTCCTTAGGTCAAGGCCCCGACTGTAAATGCACCCCTGGTTCTCAGGTCTGCGCCTCCCTCCTCCCCTCCGTGATCGCGGATGCCCTAGGATTGGACGGACCTGGGCAGCCACGGGGCGCATTCCTCGAGCCCCTCGCTGGCACGGCCGCGAAGCCCGTGAGCAAGTTTTGCCTTGGCATCGCTCGGACGTGTACATTTTTCCTTCGGCGAGGACCATCGAGGAGCATCCTTGATCACTTGGCGAAAAAAACACGCACGAAAAAAAAAAAACAGGGAATGGACGTCCGAGCGATGGCGGGTTGCCGTCAGCATTTTTGAGGTTAGGCCGCTGGCGGCCCGGAGCACGCCAGGAAGTTCGGCCGAGGGGTGGCCGAACCAGAGACGCAGGCATCATAGCTGCGTGTTGGTCCTCCTCGTCCTCGCCTTGCTGCTCTCCTCTCGGGGAACAGTGATATAAACATAGACTGTCAGAAGTCCGCGCGGATCTCTCGGATCGTCGTTGGAGCCCCCCGGTGGCGCCTCTAACGCCGCGCCGCCCCTGGCGCGTTCCGCGCGCCAGGGCGGAGGGGAGGGGTACGGCGCCGATCCGAGCAATCCGCGCGGACCTCCAACAGTTTATGTTTATGTCATTGTTTTCCCTTGTACAGTAAACCCGTCTAGTAAGGATGAGCAATTGTCCGAGGTTACCTTGCATCCTCGCCTCTGCGGCCCATCCTTGGCCGCTTTCGCTGGCCGCGCCCCGCTCGCAAAGTGTCCGCATGGCCCTCCGAGGCCCTTGCAACCTTAGCATCATGCATCCTAATTCTGCGTGTTGCCTGTATCCTCCCTCCCGCATGGTGGCACAATTCCCAGCGCAGTCACTCTGCCCAGCCGCCGACGCAAAAAAAGTGTCCTCCTGGGGTTCCTCGACGCGACGTCGGCGGCCGACGGCGACGACCGCCCCAGGCCGGCCCTGCGCCGCACGCGCGCAGACCGCCTTCGGCTCCAGACGAACGAGGAGACCGGCGGCGGCCTCGACGTTGCAGTCAACTTTTGGGGACAATCGCCGAGGGCGTTCCGTTGCTAGCAAAGTGCTTATTTACTCGCAAACGTTCGAACGGCACTGGCCTGCCTCGGTGTAGCGGATCGTAGATCCCCGGCGGCGGATCCAGGCCAGTGGCGAGTAGTTGCTTTGCGAGTGGTGGGACGCGGTTGTCTAGACAAGTTCCACGTTGATTCCGGGAGGGGCTCGATCCTTTCATTCGTGCATCCAGTCGCAACTGACGCCACAAGGGGGCTTCGCTCCTCATCCGAGGGTCATCATGGCAAATCGTTGGCCGAGTCTGACGTCTTATCGTGGAAGGATTTGCCCTTCCCACACCCACAGGAGGAGGAAAAGAGTTCGTCCTCCTCGTCGTCGTCCTCCTCGCTCTGCAATCTTCAATCATCTGTTTTGAGATTGGCACCAGCCACTGAGATGCAGAGGTTTGCGTCATCCCCATCGTCGCCGTCTTCCTCCCACTCCTCTCATTTCCTTTGATTTCCAAACAGCATGTGGATGCTTTACACTTCCCTGGTTGGACCCCATGATAGACGCTAGTTGTGACCTTCCTTTGCGACGCGCTGGTCCGATCATTCCTGTCCCCATCCTCCTCTAATGTTCGAGAAGGGCTTACAGTCGGGGCCCTGAAGAAGGAACCATTTTCGTTGGGAAGGGGCTCCGTGTTCCTTAAGTGTTTCACAGCTTGCCTCAGGTTTCCCTTATGTTTTCGATGGGGAATCGAAGTTTAACTTGTGGAAAAAAGGGGCCTCGTTCCTTATGTTGGGTTCCTTAGGTCAAGGCCCCGACTGTACATGAAAGGAGGTGGAATGGTCGTGGGCACGGGAGGTGGGATGGGAATAGACATATTCGAGCGCGTATCGGTCTCTTATGGGGCGAGGGATTTCGGCGGCTTTCGCAGGTTCCTGCCGTTTTCGGAGGCCCCGGAAGGTGTTCGCCGGCCTCTCCTCGAGATCTCGAGAGATTGGGAGAGAAAGAGGAGGGGGTGGAAGGAGGAGGGCCCCTCCTTTGCCTTCTACTTCTCCTTCTCCTCCTCCTCCTTTTCCTCCTCCTCCTCCTCCTCCCCCTCCTCCTCCTCCTCCTCCTGCTCCTCCTCCCCCTCCTCCTCCTCCTCCTCCTCCTCCTCCTCCTCCTCCTCCTCCTCCCCCCAGATGTCCTACCTCCTGCTCTCGCTTCCGCACGTGGGCAGCGGGGGCTCGCGACCCCGTCACGGCGGGACCCGCGCGGCTGCTCGCGGCGCCCGGAGGCCGCGCCCCGAGGCCCAGCGCGGCGAGCGAATGCAGCTTCGGCTTCCCAAGGCTCAAGGAAGAAATTGGAAGATTTAACACATCTCATTGGGTTTTTTCTCTGGTATCATTTGTCCTCCGTGGTCTGCTATGGTCCAAGGGGGTTAATGGAACATAGCTGCCTGGTCCCCAGGTGGGGGCCAGAGCCTGACAGATGGAGAAGGACATGGGCGAGTGCCCGTCTGGTGCAGCTGTTTGTTGTGAGGCGCCCAACGCCGTTGTGAGTCCTTTCTGGGGAATTGTACACGAAGCTCTCGGGGTCACCGCCTCCCCCAGAACAAGGAATCGCCGATTCCCAGGAACAGATGCGAAGATGGGAAGGGGGAGGGGGAAGGCGAAGCTCGAAAAAAAAAATATATGGAGACATGTGGGGAAGCCGGTCATCTGTGTCGACTGATTTGTGTGTGTGTCCCAGGGCCCCTTCCCAAGGCGTTGGAGGTCCGGGGATGGTGCGGCATCGAGCGGCGAGCAGGCAGCACCCCAGGCGGCCACGGCTGGCCTCGGCACGCCCCCCAGGCAGTGCCAGCGGGCCTCGCCAGGCCCCCCGAGTAGTTTGGGCCTCTTGGATGGGGTCGGAGTAGATGGGGTCGGAGCGTCAGGACGCCGAGAGGCTGAAAACTCGAACATCAATCAAAAACATATGGCATGACTCTTCGGCCCCCTGGGGGGCTTCTTGGGGCCTCTTGGAGCCTGTTAGGGGCTTCTCGGGGCCTCCTGAGAGCCTCTCGGGGTGGAAGACTCGGATTTTCGGTTCGCGTCAATCCTCTTGGCTCCATTTTGGGGTCGTCCTGAGGCCCTCACCAGTGGTGTTGTCACTTTCAGGAGTTGAAATGGACAAGGAAAACACAATAACAAGAAAAAATGGGGTCGGAGGATCGCGCCGCATCGCCCATGCATCGGCAACGCGGCGCGATGCGCAGCCCGATTTGCTTCCCGTCGACGTCGCCGATGCTTCGCCGACGTCGACGATGCATCGCCGGTACATCGCCGATGCGTCGGCGGTGCGGCGCAATCCTCCGACCCCATCTGCTCCAGCCCCCTGTAAGAGGCCTCTAAGTAGTCCTGAGCGGTCTCAACACCCTGGCGACGCCCCCGGAGCGCTCCGTGCCCCAGGGTTCATGCACTCGAGACGGCCCCAGGCCACTCGGGGCTCCCGTGGGGGCCAGATGGAGCTGCTCGGGGGGCCTGCGGAGGACCACCGAAAACTGCCTGGGGGGGGGTCTTGCCATCTGGGGCGGAAGGCTTCTGCGAGCTCGCCAATCGGGGGGAGGCCAAGAGGTGGGTGAGAACCTGCTCCTCCTGCTCCTCCTCCTGCTCCTGCTCCTCCTCCTCCTCCTCCTCCTCCTCCTCCTCCTCCTCCTCCTCCTCATCCTCATCCTCATCCTCCTCCTCCTCCTCCTCCTCCTCCTCATCCACCTCCTCATCGTCCTGATCCTCGTCCTGATCCTCCTCCTGCTCCTCCTCCTCATCCTCGCCGCTATTTCTCCTTCAATACGTCCCCCTGTCCCCCCTCGGCCGCACACATGCCTCGGGCCGTGTTTGTCGACCCCCCCTTTTGGAATCACCCCCCTCTTGGATCGGCGGTTCCAAGATGGGGTCCTGAGGGGTGGGGCCCTAAGGTGCCTCAAGCGAAGAGAATCCGCACTTGGGATCCCTTCCTATCCTTAAGTCCCCATACCCTCGGGACCCCATATTTGATCCACCGATTGGACGCCCCCGAGTTAATCAGCGCCCGTCAGAGGAGGAGGACGAGGAGGAGGAGGAGAAGGAGGAGGAAGAGGAGGAGGAGGAGGAGGATGGGGCGGGGGAAGAGGAGGGAGGAGGAGGAGGATTGTTTTCCAAATCGCACACTTCATCATCATCACCATCACCATCATCACCATCACCATCACCATCACCATCACCATCACCATCACCATCACCATCACCATCACCATCACCATCACCATCATCATCATCATCATCATCATCATCATCATCATCACCATCACCATCACCATCACCATCACCATCACCATCACCATCATCATCATCATCATCATCATCATCATCATCATCATCATCAGCATCATCATCATCTTCATCTAGGTCGTGTTCCGCACGCAGACACGTTTGCTGATAAGATCGTCTGGCATGCTGTCATTGGCCTCAACGCAAACTGCTGTGAGACGAGGATGCGTCTGTTCAGCTGGATGTTGGCTGTCGGCCGAGGGGCGGCTCGGAAGATTAGATGTCCATCGAAGTTGCGATGACAATCGTCAGATACAGTCCAAAGACTAGGTGGAGGGGTGGGAAGTAGCAGGGAGGAGGAGGGAGCAGGAGCAGGACGAGGATGCGGGTCGACTCCGCCTCGTCGGCAAACCAGCGCAGGAGGTCTGGGGATCGCGCCCGCGGCGCGCGGTGTCTGCCCGCGGCGCGGGGGCTTGCTCGGGGCCGCCGGCGTGTGCTGGGGGTCCTGGGGCTTCCCCAGGGGTCGGAGCACACGGGGTCGGATCCTCACGCCGCACCGCCGATGCACCGGCGATGCGGCTCGATGCGGAGCCCGATCCTCTTCGCGCTGGCGTCGCCGACGCATCGCCGACGTCGCCGGTGCGTCGCCGGTGCGTCGCCGATACGTCGCCGATACGTCGCCGATGGCCTCTGCGTGTGGATCCCCCTGCAGCCGGCCCTGGACACCTGGCAGAGGTGCGCGCCAAGAGCTGCGGGCCCCGGTGGGTTTCCTCGGGCCTCGGGGGCCTCTGCTCGGCGGCGGCGGGCCCGCGGGAGGATCGGGCCGAACGAAAGGGGGGGATTGGGAAAGGGCGGGTTGCGGAATTTGCTGCATGCAGCTGGTTTCGGCCTCGCCGAGGGGCCCATTCCTCGATACATAGCCGCCTCTGGCGCCGGGAGGCGCCGGGAAAATAAGCTACGCGAGCTGATTCTCACCCCCCCCCCCTTTGCTATCCCCCCCTTCTCGCCCGACCCGAGAGGAGGCGGAGGAGAGGGGCCTTCGCAGGAGGCTCGGAAGGCCTCCAAGCTTCCGAGCAGTTTTCTGCTGTGGAAGCCCGTGCTCGGGGGTGGACAGACCTCCTATCCTGACGCGTCGATTAGCGAATTGGCCGTTTTCGGTTCGAGAGAGGGCGTCGCGGCCGTCATTTTTGCGGGTCCAGGTCCGTCGGTTTCGGTCCCAGGCCGTTTTCACAAAAGGAAGGTTTACTAAAGTGAGGTCTGTCCACCGCCGACATGCCAAGAAACACCCTGCTTGCCTCCAGGGTGCCCTGGGTGTCTTGGGTCTCGGTGGTTTTGCCATTGGAAACGTGACGTTCCCACACCAAAAATGGACGCAGATCCTGGGGTCTCAGGGTTGGGTTTCTTGTGGAAGGTTTCCTGTGGTCGAGCCCCTACGGTAAGCCCCTGACAGAGACGGCTTCTCAGAAGGCTGGAGGGCTTTGAGAAGCCCCGCCGCTTGCTGAGAAGGCTTGCCCCTCACTTCCCCAAGGACGCCCTCCA